AAGCCTCCATCAGCTGAACCAGTTTGTGGATTTGATGGACAGAGTTGTCCGAGTATTAACTTTTTATTGTTTTTGTTTATATGGGAATATCTAATAATTGAATAACTTTAGAAACCCTGTGGAGGTGGGCACTGATACCAGCGATTGGCTTCCTTCTAGTCTTATTACTAGTGTTTGTAATGTATAAGAATTGGATGTATGAACAGGAGTTGGACAGCCTTTTATGGAAAATTGATTTCAAAGAATTGATTTTTAGTGAATATACTCCAATCACTACTAAATTGAAAGTAAGCAAATTAGTATATTAAATAACATAAAAGTATTTTATTTATAATTAAGATTTAAAAACAATAATGTAACACTTTATTATAATCGTTGTAATTAAATTTAGAGCATATTTTACTATACTATTACAATAATACTAATACATTATAACTAATACATTATAACTTGAAACTTTTACAATAAATCTGAATCCTAAATTCAAAATATTATAGATCCACATTACAAACATAAACTCATGTTTTATCATAAATCAATACAAACATACAGGAAATACAAACTTATTTAATAATACTTTTAAAGCCTCGTTATAGCTCTCAGTTGTCTCTGACATCGGCTGAAGATCTCTTAGAATTCAGATATTCTAATGTTTACACAACTATTGGATTATATAAAGGAAGAGTTGTGGCCATTAAAAGGATCTCCAAAAAGAATCTCGAAATTACACGAAAAATGAAAAAAGATTTAAAAATAGTAAGAACTTATTGTATTATAAAATTATATTGAGTTTGTTTGTAAAGTAGATAAATATCGTTTATTACTCAATAATAGTAAAAGTAAAGTGTTTAAAAATATTTGTTTGAGAGCACTTTTAAAATTCTTGAATACATGCTTAGACTAGTTTGTTATTATAGTGACTAGGGTGAAAATAAAATTAACCATTTTACTTAAATTACATTAAAAGCTGAAAGATTTACGACACGACAATCTGAACACATTTATCGGCGCGTCTGTCGAAACGCCCAATATTTGCATTTTAAACGATTACTGCTCCAGAGGTAGTCTTTTAGATGTTATTCACAGTGATGTCAATTTGGATCATATTTTCATTGCATCGATGATTGGAGACATAATTCGTGTAAATATACTAATTTAGCAAAACATTTAAAAATGTTGTTATAAAATCAAATGTGACCGATTCAGGGAATGGCATATCTTCACGAATCGCCAGTCATTTCTCACGGAAACCTGAAGTCATCCAATTGTTTAGTAGATAGTCGTTGGGCCGTCAAAATTAGTGACTTTGGTCTTCACGAACTGAAGGCTAACTGTGAATGTGATCCGGAGGTGACCCAAACCATTGAACACCACTACCAGCAACTGCTATGGAAAGCACCCGAATTACTTCGACCTAATAGTCTGCCCCCAAATGGCACACAAAAAGCGGACGTCTATTCAGTAATAATTTGACATTAATTTCTAATCTATGCGTAAGTTTGAGATATTGATAATTGATTTATGATTTTGTATATTAAAAGTTTGGAATAATTCTATACGAAGTGTTGTCCCGATCTGAACCCTATGCCAACACACTATTGAGTTATTCAGAAATAATCAACAGAATAATGAATAGAAACCAAAGCAATGAGTGTTTGAGACCATCGTTGGATGTGTTGAGAGAGTCTATATATAAAGACAATTCTGGCAGAAAATATAAGATCCCGGAGTCATGTATTTGGACAATGAGGCAGTGCTGGAGTGAATGTCCCGAAGAAAGGCCTGACTTTAAAACTATTCGAAACCGATTGAGACCAATGAGGAAAGGCCTGAAAAATAATATATTAGACAATATGTTAGATATGATGGAGCGCTACACCACTAACTTAGAGACAATTGTTGACGAAAGGACTGACCAATTGGTTCAGGAAAAGAAGAAGACCGACGCCTTGCTCTATAAGATGTTACCGCCGTCTGTGGCCGACTCACTGCGAAGGGGACAGTCTGTTGAGGCCGAGTCTTTCGATGCCGTCACTGTCTTCTTCAGGTAGGACTCCATTCATATATCAGATGAATCCAAAAAAGGACGCTAGGTCTTTTGCGATCAATCAATTTTGTAAAAAGTATTTTAAACTTTTATTTAATTGTGTACTCAAGTATCTCAATAAAATTTTGGACCAACGCGAATGTCATAGTCACCGGTCATAGCATAAGTTAGTAGCAGGGTAAAATCTAAAATATACAAATTAAAGCCGGAAGTATAAGCTTTCATTTAAGCTATAAACCACAAAGAATTTGGTTCTCGTAGAATTCATATTTTAATAAAAAACTACATTTAAATTCTTATATAATGGGTTAAAATGTGTAAACTATTGTTTAATATGGGGTTATTTGAATATACATTGAAATGGAAATTTTGTTAAAATAAATTTCCTACAAATATGATCCATAGTCCGTTTGAAAGCTTATGACACCTACTTCAATTTTATAATTGAACACTTTTACCTAGCTCCTATTAGTCACGTGTAATTTAAGTTTAGATTATTTACCATTGATCTTTACATTGGATTCAATGATTTTCAAAAGATTACTGTTTCAAAACTAGAAATCGTAGCAAGGTGGTTTATAGCTTAAATGAAAGTTTATACTTTCGGCTTTAATTGATATATTTTCGATTTTACCCTGCAATTATGCTGTGAAAGGTGACTATGACATTCGCGTTGGTCCAAAATTTTTATTGAGATACTTGAGTCACCAGGATGGTTAGTATGTCAAAAGAACACAATTATTTAATTTGATTGTATTCATTTGAAAGTTTAAAATACTTTTTACAAAATTGATTTATCGCAAGAAACATAGAAATGCGAGCAAAAACCCTAGCGTCCTTTTTTGGATTCATTTTATATTAATGGATTAAATACGAGAACGTACTCTCATTTATAATATACTTTCAGTGATATCGTGGGCTTCACTAAACTGTCGTCTCAGAGCACTCCCCTTCAGGTGAATCTCTTGAAACGATTGATCCAATAATTAATCCAATTTATGATTCAAAATAATGTGAATTCTTATTATTTATTATTAAGATAACGGAATTCCTAAACGATTTGTTCACTCTATTCGACGCGACCTTAGAGTCATATGATGTCTACAAAATTGAGACCATAGGAGACGCTTATATGTAATTAATTAATTTATGAATTACCAATATAAATTATAATATTATTATATTGAACTACGGTTTAGGGTGGTCTCGGGTCTTCCCATTCGTAATGAGGACAGACACGCCTCTGAGATCGCGTCAATGGCTCTCAATCTTTTGGATGAAATCAAGAATTTTAAGATAAGACATATGCCTAACGAGAAGTTTATGATGAGAATTGGCGTTCATTCGGGACCCGTTTGTGCCGGGGTAGTCGGCATCAAAATGCCCCGGTATTGCCTTTTTGGTAAGAGTATATAGTAGCTATTCAAAATTATGTAAAATATTACTACAATACAATCTAATATTAGGTGATACAGTGAATACTGCATCCAGGCTTGAGTCGACCAGGTACAGTATAATCATTTATTTACACTGTATATTTTGCAATATGTTTAATCTATTTCGATATATGATCACATGGTGTAGCGAACCTCTCAAAATTCATTGTTCAGAGCAATTCAAAGAGATTTTGGACCGATTGGGTGGTTATCTACTGTTCGAGAGGGGTCTCACCCCTTTGAAGGGAAAGTGTGAACCCATGAGAACCTATTGGTTGGTCGGAGAGAGCGAACAACGAAAGACGCGGCGAAAGTTTATAACAAATTCCGATCGCAATAGGAATTCATTGACAGAAATATTGTTTTGCCAGAAATTCAAATCTAGTCAAACCCCTGAACTGAGATCACGACAGCACTCCAATGAACTGCTCAGAAGTGGAAGTCCCAGAATCAGAGGAACTCCTTTAGACACGAATGAAACGTCTTTGAGATCAATGCTTCCTATTATCCAAAAAAGACATTTATTAACAGATAATCTCGAATATATTAAAACTGCCGGATCTTCTCTTATGCCTTCGAGTAGATCTCAATACTCTCTTAATTTGATCACATCTTCAAGAGATAGATCTCTACCAACATCTCAAAGCATAACAATTAATGAAAATCCAAAGAAATGCGATCTTTTAAACCCTCCCCCTTATAAGTCTCTTAATTTAAGTCAAAGATCTTTTACTAAGCCTTTGAATTTAAATTCTGTGAAACACAACGATGGATACAATGGATGCCTCACCAGAAGGACTGCATCTTTACCACCACTCGTGAAAAAGATGTCAAGAGCTGAGAGTTTACCACAACTTAAAGATAAAACAAGAATTCCTTCAAATCATCACGAAATGGCTTAATTGATGTTTAAACTATTTTACATTTAAACCTTATCAAATAAAATCTAAAGTTACTATTTAACTAGAATATTTTATTTAATATACTGAATACTGTACAGAATAATAACTTTTATTGTGTGTAATATATTTAATCAATACCAACAACAATAAATTAGAATCAATACCAATGATTATACTTTTGATTGCTACTGTATTACAGATAAGATTTATTTAATTTAAAATTTTAATTAATTTCTTAACTTCACAAGCACAACTTCACAAGAATGCAAACATTTGAATACAATTCAGCAATTAAGTAGAAATAAAATTGAATAAAGATAATGATGTTTGATAACTAAAAGAAACATTAAATCGATTATCAATTTAGTGATTAGTATATATAAAAATATAAAGTAATTAAAATAACAAATGATTGACTTTTATTTTTATAAAAATATTTCATTTTAATTTATTGTCCAAAGGAATGAAATTTTAGAGAAATGATGGACTGATTGATAATCTAATGATATGGTCAGCTGTTGAGCCACGGATGACGCAAACATTCAGAGGCTGTGGTTCTTATGCCGGAATCGATTCTAAGCATCGGCAGCAAGAAATCAGCAAATTTCTGAGCCTCTGTTGAATCCCATTCATACTCATCGACGAGTAATTTGTCAATTGATTGGATAATGTATTGTGATTTACGTTTGCAACCAATCACTCGACCACTTCGGGTGCAATACTTGTTATAATACTTCCCTTTTCTACATGACTTGGGAATGGGACCCAAGTGCTCAATGATTTTCTTCAGATGGTTGGCATTGCGGGACATACGGACCGTTTCGTGGGAATCAAACAGTATGTCTCCGGTCGCTAATTCAAAGGCCATACAACCGACAGACCAAATGTCTGCAGTCGGACTAAAACCAGCGCCTAATATGACTTCAGGTGAGCGATAGGGTCGGGTCTGAATGGTTGAGTTGTGGGTCTCATACTAACGAAGAATTATATATTTATATTCAATACTAGAATACAGTAATTTATTGAATACCAAATAACATGCATTTCCTAAGTCAGCGATTTTAATTGATATTTCACTCAAATTCTCTTCACCTAAATGTTGTTCATTTTTAATGAATTGAATGCAAAATCAAACACTAAAGACATACCACTTATTGTGTTATGAATGAAGTTGTTGCGAGTTTTAGAGTTCAATTTAACCACATTCTTAAGACATTTTTGTCGATCGTATTTGAAATATATATCACATTTCTTGATGAGTTTGGCGGAAGCGGTTGAAACAAAACTGGTCGGCAGTGGCTTTTCGCCGCCAATCATATCAACCACTTCTGAGTGCATTCTTCCGATTTGGCTTTCATTGATAGTCAACAGAACATTCTCGGGTTTAAGATCCGTATGGATTAGCATACATTTTGTGTGCAAATAAACCAATCCCTCCAATACTTGACGAATAATTGTCTTCAGAATATTGAGAGGAATTCCGTGTTTGTGTGAAGTATTCATGAATTTCATCAATGAATCTCCCAATACTTCAAACACCAAACAAACATCTTATTTGACAAAAAACAAAGTTTCTTAAGTTATGGTGAATAGTCTATAGAAAAACTTCTTACGTTTGCCATTAGGTCCACGTATTTTAAAAGAGTCAATAAAAGTGACCACTCGTTCAACATTGGGGTCTGAGCTCTGAATCCGTGATAATATGTCGATCTCCTCCTGAGCTGACTCTTGGAAACATTTTTTACTTTTGACGACTTTTATGGCCACGTATTCATCGGATTTTTTGTCCAAACAGAGCCAGACTGTGCTGAACGCACCAAAACCCAGCTTTCGGATCACTGTCACCACCAACACATCCATTCATAAGAAGTACTCATTTTATAAATCATATATTAATTGACATTACAAACCTAGATATCGTTTCCGGCGAAAAGTGTCACCAATTTGAACGCAATGATAACCTCCGACGTTGTATTCTTCAGATTCTTCCTCTTCTTCGGACACTTCTTCATCCTTTTCCTCTTCTTTCTCCTCTTCTTGTCTGTTATCAACAAATTACAAGATATTATAGAATATCTATATATAAAATAGGAATTCATTCTTCGAGAAGTCCTCAAAACTTAAAACTAATCATAGGTTCACTCATATAATAACTACTAAACCCAATCAATGAGTTAAAGCAATGCTAAGAGTTATTAGACTTAAAAAGATAATTCAAAGACACGGTTCACATTACTTCACATCCGAAGACTTTAACTCTGAAGCACATGGACTCTGGCAATCATCTGAAGAAATCATTTGTCCACAATTTTACGCTATTATTGCAATTTGCAAATAGTTACTGTAAATTATAAATGAAATACTCATTGAAACAATGATTTGGATTTGAAATGTTGAATGCATTCAACAATTAACAAACAATTGGGTGATTGCATGCAAATGACAAGCAATGCAAAAGCAAAGCAATACTCTGTTTGTGAACCATTTGAGTCATATTAATACAAATGAAGCAATCATTAGCACACAAATTGAAGTATTGAACAGTTTTTGACAAAATTTCATTTCATTTTGAAACAAATATTTGTTTATTGAAAACGATTGAAATGATCAAAATGTGTAAAAGAATTTGCTTATAACCGTATATTTATGCTTTCAAATATTGTTTTAATCTTTAATTATAGGTAATTATAGGATAAATATTTATTGAATACAAGTTTTAAATTTTATATGAAAAACAAAAATAAATTTATCAATTATAAAGAAAATAAAGAAAATCTTTTAAGGATTAATAGATTAATAAATAAATAAATGTCTCATTTGTAAGGCATTAAACAAATGATAAATAGAGTGATAACCCTTTATAACGTACAATAGATTATGTATTGAATGTATTAAATAAGAGATAAGCGAATGAAGTAATGGCTTAAAAAGTGGTCAATTGTTTCCTCTCTTCAATCAACTGTTTCCTGTGTTCTAACAGTTTTGGACTCCATTTCTGAAGGATATAATCGATGGTATTGTCCAACACAAGCACCCGATTTTGAGAGACAATCGTTTGTCGACAGACGGGACAGCAATGACTGTCATTATTGATGACACGAATGTCCAACTCGTCCTCTTCATCATCAGAGCCGTCCGATGAGTGGTGTTTGTTGTCATTGGAGTGCTTCCACTCCTCGATACACGACTGGCAGAAAGTGTGGGAACAGTTGAGACTCACGGCAGTGATAAACAACTCGTGACATATGGCACAACTGAGCTCAGAGTCAAACAGTTGTTGCCATTCATTGCGCGCCCGTTTCACCGCCAATTGATCCCTGTTTTCGTTGTTCAGGTCGAAGAGTTTGCGTTTCGGTGTCTTCACGGCTCGCCTTTGCGACAGACAGTAGTCGTCGACGAACTCAAAGACCACTTTCGACTGATCCGACGGTCCGAACGATATTTTGTCGCCAATTGCGAGACAATAAGGAGAGAAAGCGATGACTGGTTTGCCGTTTATATACAAACCATTTGTGCTCTGAATGGCGCCAAAGAAGATAATTAGTGAAGACTTACAGAAGGGGTGATCATTGATTGCAAAATACCTCCAAATCAGTGATAAACCAGTTGTTGTCCTCACTCTTGAGAATGGCATGTCTTCGCGAGATCTCCAATGAGTTGATCTGCAGATCGCATGTGATATCCCTTCCGATGACCACTTGGTGTCCATACGTCAGCACAAGAGCCTTGAGGTGCGATGTCTTCGCAGTGATGGGAATCAATGCATACAATGTTTTCCACATTTCCTCAGTTGTAGTCATTTTACGTCTATTTGACTGCCAATCAAATCAAATGAATGCAAAGTGTGTTATAAAAGCGCAGATAATATGCAATTCAAGTCTTCAATACAATGCAGTGTTTGTCGAAAACAAGTCAAGTATTAAATATTTCTCAACATTTGATAATCGGTTGTAATCTTCAAGTCTCGAGATATCGAGAAAACACTTCAAATGACTGAACGACTTGTTTATCACTTTAACTCAATAACACTGTGAGTGTAAGTGTTGTTCACTAATCAGGGCTACGATTAAAACGTCACGTAATGTGAAGACATCGCAGTCAATACAGTCACAGTCACTGTCAATACAGTCATACAGTCATACAGTCAACAACAATACCTGTATATAATAATACGCAATGCATTGAAACGTCACTCGCAGTCAACTCTCTTTCAACTCTCGTTTGGCTGCAATTTGGCGCTTAAAGCGCTTGTAATACATGTTTTGGGGCCTCAATACACACTACACTACGACACGACATGTATTACTAATGGTGTTTACATTCAGTGATGCAATGCTTGCATTAAATGCTTGAAAATAGCGATCATTTGTTGCCAAAGTGTAGGTGGTTAACTAGGTAACTAGGTAACCAAGAGCACTCTGTTACCGACTTAGCTTCTCACTAGAGCTGAATTGGTTTTGGAAGGCGTAAGACCAGCGGTCACTATAAGTAAACCCTATATTACTTTCTCATCCGGAAAGAGGTTTGAGTAGACAATCGATGGCAAAGTGATGGCAAAGTGTTTGTCTTAACCTCAGACAATGTGTTTTATTGCAGGCAATGATTCGTTCCAAGCGTTCGAAGAGGTGTTATCTCTGGCCAAAGAGGAAGACGTGGATCTGTTGCTATTGGGCGGCGATCTGTTCCACTTAAATAAGCCATCGTTCGCCACTCTCAAGAAGACCATAGAGTTGTTGAGACAGTACTGCTTCGGCTGTCGTCCCATTCAGTTCCGGATTGTGTCCAATCAGAGCGACAACTTCTCGCACTACAAGAACTTCAAATACGCCAACTATTTGGACGACAACCTCAACATATCAATGCCTGTCTTCACGATCCACGGCAACCACGACGACCCCATCGGAGCCAACCATATCAGTGCATTGGACAGCCTGTCGAGCGCCGGACTCGTGAACTACTTCGGCAAATACACGAATGTCGACGAAATCCTCTACTCAGGGTAAGACGAGCTCTTCCCGCTGACGTTCTATCGCAACATACCGAACCCCAGGCAGTTACTCCTCGCGGAGATGGCGTAGCAGTGGCTGCCCTTTGAGTTAATGACATACGGACTCTGCCGTGAAGACGAGTGGTTCAAAGTGCTGGTCGTCCACCAGAACCGCATCAAACACTCCAACACCCGATATCTGCCCGAAAGGTTTCTGTCGGATCTGCCCAATCTGGTCATCTGGGGTCACGAACACGAGTCACGACCCGAACCGGACTTCAACGAGTCCGAGGAGTTCTTCGTGTACCAGCCGGGCTCTACTGTCGCCACATCCCTGTGTGAGGCGGAGGCGCCGCCCAAACACGTGGGCGTTCTCGAGGTGTACTTCGACCACTTGACGCGAACCCCAAAGTTTCGGATAACGACCCGTCGCTTGAAGAGCGTTCGGCCCTTCGTTTGGGATTCGCTCGACATTTCAGATCTCATTCGCAGACAAATCATTGCCAGCGAAGAGGAAGCCATTGCAGAGTATTGTCGCGAAAAAGTGGAGGCAATGATCCAAAAGGCGAGACTCGAGCACACGGGAGACCCTCGACAACCTCGACTGCCACTCATTCGACTGCGGCTCGAGTTCACGGATGAGAGCCATCA